AAAAAAAAAAAAAAAAAAATCTGCGCCAAATAGGAACACATAGAAGTTTTGAACATTAATATGACCAACTTTTAGAATTTAATGCCAACACACACTATCTCACTCATCATTATGACTGTACAACAGTTAATATTCTCCATCCTTTTCAGTCAGAGTCTGAAGTTTAGAAAGACTAAGTAATTTATTCAAGGTCAAAGAGTTCTAATGATCAGCAGTTATCTGATCACAAAGCAAGAGCCACTAACAACGGTTTCTAATGCCAGGCTGTAACTACACAGAATTTTCACATCCGATCCTGCTTCTTGCTCGATTCGACTGTAGTAAAGAAATCAGCTGAACGCCATCTTTCTGGCCAGTTGTCCTTGAGGCTATAAATACCGGTAGCTACCCCTACACACTGCTAAACACACAGCAGTGACCTTGTCAGTGGATTCAACACGTACTTAGTGCTCTGATTACATATTTAAAATGCCATCTAGAAATTAAGTGAATTACTTTTTAAGATTTAAGAACAGAAATAACGAAAAGTCTGAATATACCTAAACATTTCTCGTAACAGCTGGCAACATTCCAGCTTCTGGTCTTCTAAAATGCAACCTGCCACTATATTTCACCCTCCCCACATGACAGAATCAGCAAATAAGAAGAAAAAGACTACAAATTTTGATCTGTTCCTAAAAATTTATTCCTTTACTGATTTTAAATTGTAAATGACAATTTTTAGTAAGGACAAAAATTATGGTACAAGAAGTCAGTTCTGCGCAGTGTTCTGTGTGCCCAGAGGCAGAACAGAGGGAGAAATCTGCATCACGCGCCACCCGAAGGTTCCTGGTGTCCCGCAGGACAGCGTCCTCCGCTCGGGTCATCTCCCAGCACTGGAGAAAGCTGCCTCCTTGCCTCCATCAACCACTACTGTGGGGTGCCTGCTGCATGCACAGGACCAATGGCGCACACGGGCTGGGGGCACGGGAGTCATCCCAGCCACCACTGCAGCCCAGGGCCCTGCAGCCCCCAGAGCGTGAGACTCATTTCATCATTAAGGCACATGAGCACAGGTGTAGCAGACACACATTAATTCTTTAGAATGTTTCCACTGATGAACTGTTAATTATAATTTTATGAGTTACATTAAGAGGTGAGTACTCAACAGGAAAAATATATCACAAAAACAAAGTATTGAAGTTTTAGTATCTACTGAATGTTTGCACATGAATCGCTCACGTGCTCAGCACATGTGCTTTGCAATCCTGGTCCCTTTGTAGGACATGCTTGGCATCTCAGTGGTCTTGCTGTTTTGTCAATAGGCTCTTGTATTATACAGTGTGTAGTCAACAAGAACATCAAATATCAATAAAATAGACTACTGTATTCTTAATATATATTGTGCATTTAGAATAGACATTAACATTTCACATCAGCTGTGTATTTCCTTACAAAGCCTAAAAGAACATCAGAAATAAACTCCCCTCCAGGGCTGGGGAGATAGCTCAGTGGCAGAAGCACCTGCCTGACAGGCGCGAGGTCCTGAGCTTGATCCCTGGCAGCACAAAAAAGAACTCAAGTCCTACATGATTGCTTCAACTGCCCCACCCAAGGCAGTCTTCACAACTGTATGTTCTATGCACAAGTGGTGCTTACACAACAGCACGTAAGTTTTGTTTCCTGTACTTTCTTGCAGGGCACAGTTGCCATCTTTTTAGTTTTCCTGCTGTCGTACTAGGTCTTTGTGATGCTGCACCTGCCTGTTCACTTGTCAGCTCATCCATGTGCTGCACAATTTTTGTATAGTTCCCTGGGGAGAAACATTTTGGTTTTCCCCTGCTGTAAAATGATCTCTATTGAGCTTCAGTCCCAATCCTCTAAGAGAATTTCTCCGTGATATTTTGTGCTTGTTATTTTCTTTGTAAACTATCAAATTATGCCACACATTTAGGATCGAGTAAAACAGAACCATTGGCCAATGCTTTGTGTTTTAAGTGACATCACAGTTGCTACATAACTCATCAACAATATCTATTCCACATTTGGTTCTGTTGCTGAGTTTCTACCTTAGGCTTCCATTCTGTTGAGATTTTCCCTGCTCAATCATTTCCCCAATCATTTTATCACAATGACATGCTGACATCTGTGGTACCAGTTTGCTTTTCTTTGCCATATAGGCCAATGTTTTATCTTTCAGAAGTCCAAAGATTGTACTATGCAATTCTCTGTTCTGCAACTGCCACATTTCATCTCTATTTTCTGCTTTATTCCTGTGTACAGCTCCTCTGCTGGTCCACACGTGCTCTGTGAACAAATGCAACATCAATTGGAAACCGGTAAGCCGGCTGCTGAAGGTTGTATCCTGACTAGTTTGGGAGATGAGGGCAACAGGTCTGTTCACTTCATTCAGATTACTGCTATATGAATGAGGCCCTGAGAGCTGAGTTCCAACATAAATGTTTAAATTCTTTGAATCTACAAGGGAACAAATTTCTCATATTTTGACCCACTTCTCCAATCTTTTACATTGCCATGATCACCATGAGAAATCTGTGCTAAGTACAGCAGACCTATGAATGCTTTCAGTTCAGCCAATGAGGTATCATAATAAATATATTTTGTAATATGACTACTGGTGCATCAGAGCATTTCACTTGCATCTCAGCCTTTGGGTATTTCACTGTGTCTTGTAGCATTTCATCTGTTACAATTTCTAACACGGACTGGCAGTGCTGGCACACTGTCCAAAACGGCGCATCTCCGCCAAGTCCCTCACCGTACTTCTGGATCTGGTTCTGAGGCTGGATCTTACGAGTTGGCTGTGTGGCTCTTTCCCAGCATTCTGACTAGTCAAATGTGTGCTTCCATTGCTATTTTCTTCATGATCTGAATCAAGGAGGTCTGCCTTCATGTGCCTGTATCAGTGGATTCTTGCTCCACTGCACTGTCACTGTGGCTCATGTGGGCAATGGCAGAGTCATCATTGAGGTCACCATCACTGCCATCATCACCCACTGCCACCACTCTTCTGTAATGAAAGTACGTACGTCACTATAACAGATCATCTTCATCATCCATGTATAAGTAATCTAACGATTCACTTTTGACCTCCAAAACTTGCAAATCTGGTTTTTCATGTGCCAGTCTACTAATCTGTATGCTATTTCTACCACAAAAATCAGAACTTTTTTAAGAAGCAA